ATGGGGCCAAGTTTCTGCCCTGCCAAGCTGGCTGCCCACGCCCTGTCCCTGGGGCTGCAGCTATTCACCCCTCATCCCCTTCAGCACCGTGTCTCCATCCTCTAACTCCCGGAGCCCTGCCCCGGTGGATCGGGTGCTGGTGGCTGGCTGTCCCCAGCTCAGCGTGTCTGCTCCCGGCAGGCACGACGCAGCGGCGTGCCCTCACCCCCTGCCACCTGGGTGGGTAATCAGAGCGTGACCAACCTGCTGGGGCACGGAGCCTGCGTGCCTCTGCCAGCCTTTGCCGGCTGTTTTGGTAAGCTGGTACTCTGTACTCAGTGGAGACGTGGCTCTTCTTAGCGCCGAGGTATAAAAACACCATGGTCATCACAGGATCCAGTTAGTGTCTATCTTGGACAGTGGGGCCACCCCAGCAGCCCAGGGGGTGCTGTCACCACCAGGAGTACCCCTTTCTCCAGCCAGCGCCGCGCTGGTGATGCGCCCAGCACATGGGTGGTGCAGGACCCCATGACACAGCCGGGGCAAGGTCTGTGCCCAAGGCTCTGTGCCAGTGGGGCCTCTGGATGGTGGGCAGGGGCGTCCCAGGTGAGGCTGGTCAGGGCCACTAATGCCCATTAATGCCCCCAGGACAGGCACAGGTGACCATCCTGTGTGACCTAAGAGCTGTCACCCATCATCTGGTAAATGTGTTCCAGTCACGCTCTGGGTATGACAGCCATTCAGACGATCAGTCCTGGAGAGCTGCATGTAGGTCATGCAAATGATATGAAAACTACCATCCCACAAGCCAAGGGAAGGAAAAACACAAGACAGGAATGGGGTGAGCAAGGTAGGAGGTGTCCTCAGTGGTGCATATTGGTGACCTGCAGGAGCAGCACTGCAGCTGGTAGGAGAAAGTGGCCCATGTTTTAAAACTGCAAGGACATTTTTTATTCCAGAAGAAGCTGAGAATTAAAATCATAGGCATGAAAGAATTGTAACGATGGATACATAAACGTAATAAGCTTCTAGTGCTCTTGCATTTCAATGACAAAAACTCCCGAATGAGAATTATCTTTCCAGAGTGTGACACAAGGCTGTTCCGTGCTCCTGCTTTAGGGCTGCACCCTAACCCTGAGTCCAAGGACCACAGTGCTGCCACTGATCCTATGCTAAAGGACAAGGGAAAAGGATTGTTTTGCAGTAAATCAGATGCTAATGATTTTACCCAGATTGATCTTTCCCTGCCCCCCCCTCCAGAAATAGATCCTGCTGACAACAGCAGCCTTATGTGGATAAGAAGATTGTACTAGAGCCTTTGATCAATTGTTTGTTTAGGTCTCATATTTTGGACTATATTCTTACTAAGGGCTGAGTCACAACCAGGTTATGCTCAGTTGTTTCCCATTTAGGCTGGACAACACCTTTTTTGCTGGACAGCCTTGCAAATGGTTTCTGGTTTGAAGAGGTTGATTTCCTGGTGTGTTCTCTGAAAACAAGCAGTTTCCTGGGGGTCTGTTTGAGCAGGACCTGATTGACCTGAATGATTCTTTCACAGCGGTGCTGTGAGAGTGCAGCAAGCAGACAAGCAATAGGAGTGGAAGAGATGTGGAGAGGTATTGCTGTCAGGAGCAGATGTAAGCTGTAAGGCCACATGTTTCTTCCTTCCAAACCACAGATTGAAAATTCACTCTGATGTCGCAATACTTATTTTTAGCAGGGCTGATTTATTGAGGCAGCAGGTCAGCGTCTGAGAGAGTTGAAGCAAGTCTTTCCGCAGCTGCACGATACGCAGTGACAGGCGATCCCAACCATGATCATCATCATCCATGCCATGGAGCACACGGCTGTAGGGGGTGCTGCCTCTGGGCAGGGCTACACTCCTACTACTGTTCTTTCCATTGCAGCTTTAGCTCTGGCTTTAGTCCACTTAAGTTTATATTATTTTTTTTCTCATTTTCTGGAACACCAGTAGCCTGGAATATGTGAGAACGCAGAAGTTAGGAAGGAGGGCATGCTGCATGACTTTGGTTTGTACACTATATGCAGCAGAACAAGGTTGGCTCAGGGAGCAGTGTGAAGTGGGACAGTATGTGATGCAACAGCGAACTGGCAGCGGTGGGTGCTGGGGCAGGGCTCTGGAAAGCAGCAGCAGGGTGGACGTTGGGGTGTAACACGAATGGTAAGTGCTGCATGGAATTGATCTGGGTCTCCACGTTCACGTGTTTAGTTTGGCATCCCATCCCCCCGTTCAAGAGGGGTCTTGTGGTGTCTCAGCTGGTCCCTTCTGTTGAAAGGGCACTAGTAAAACTGGCATGATATGGGCACTTCCACATTGGAGTTGATGCTTTAGGATTGCCTTGGGTAAACGGTGAATTCAATTTGTTATTCTCTGTCGAGTATCACTGAGTTAGGGTAGGTTGCTGTGGCAGTTCACTGGAGGGCAGGAGGGCTGCTCTGCCAGGAGATGAGATGTTGGTATCTGAAGGCTAAGCACTGTGAGCCCTTGCCTAAGCCAAAGGTGAACTCGGGGCAAGGACAGTGCATGGTACGTGCTGCAAAAGCACAGCCGTGCTTCAGCTGGACACTGGCGTGCAAGAAGAGGGCGAAACGTTCCTTAAGTGTAGTTTTGTGGTAGTTCCAGGTCTGGTCATGGCTTCCTCTGTGCTGTTTGCCCGTGACGAAACAGCAAGCAGTGGTCAGGCAGGGCGAGCTGTACCGAGCGCTCGTGTCGCTCCTGGGGAGGGGTAGAGGGAGCACAGGGCTCCTTCCTCCGCTCCTTTTCACCGGGCTGTGCCTTCTCTGCCCCTGCTGCCTCAAATCCTGCTCCTTTATCTGGGTTTTGCCTTGTGGCCTCCGAAGCCAGCCCCTGAGAAACAGGCGGTCTGAACTGCAGGAAAGAGAAGGTGGGGTGTGCTGCTCTGCGTGCACACACGTGTTGGTGCGTGCCTGCGTGCCAGGAATGCAGGCTCGGCCTTGCTGCTGCCTGGGCACGGGGCCGTGGCAACCTCGCCTCCATCGGGCTGGATTCAGCCACCCCCTCCCCAGCAGCCGGCACTGGCCTCCGGGACAGGCAAGGTGACTGCAGAGGTGTGTGTGCTCCTGGTGTTGCTGGAGTGATGTCAAGGACGGCGGTGGGCTTTGACCGCCTGCTGTGCTGCAGAAGGACCGGCGAGGGGGAACAGGGAGTCCCGTCCTGGGCTGAGGAGGGACAGCACAGCTGGATTTCTGAACCAACTGAGTATTTTGGAAGCGCACAGAACTTAAATAAAGAAAATGCCTGAAAGGGCCTACTCCTTCTCTGCATTTGGGCTGGTGGCACATGGGTCAGCTTTCTGTGATGCTTTGTGCTCTCTGGTCCTTCAAAGGACGCTCCACTCCCAAGGGCTGCTCAGTGTGAGGGCAAGTGGCAGTGCTGCTCTGCGCTTGGTGAAACTTCAGCAAAGGAAACCACTCCAATTGAGCCGTTTGCTTTGGAGATAAACTGAGAAGGTAGAGCTTTTAGTGCTGCAGCCCTTCTTACCCCTCCTTCTGTGTGTATGTGCCTGTGCTTGTAGTGGTTCCTTGGTGGAGCTATCACCTGTTTCTGAGTCCATCCCGTGCAGAAGTTGTTGCCTCTGGGAGACTCATAGAAATCTCTTAATCCTGACAACACTGGCAATCAAATCTGATCTTTGAACTATTAACTAGAAGTCCTGTTAAAGAATTTTTTTTCCTGCCAAAGCTATTATTGCACCACTGGTTTGGCATGTTAGAACGAGATGAAGGGTGCGCTTTGCCAAAGCAGGAGGTGCTTGTTATTGCCTCAGAAATGCCAGCGGGTTACACGCTGCTGATACCCGGCTGCATATCGCTGTAAGCTGGGCTGTGTTTGCACCGCTGCGTTACGAAGCAGCAGCCAATCGCTCCTGACTATTTGATGCATCTTTTTGCGTTCAAGTGCCACCTCGCAGCAGCCCTTGGTTCACAGGCAATGCTCTGTTCCTTATCTTCCAACCGCATCTTTCCTCCTGAGCCCTTCTGCTGGCTGCTGTTGCCCAATGCAGGAAAGGGCGTGATGGGGGTGCAGGAGCCTCGATGTTAATCTGGGGTTGAAGTGCCGGCTGGGCCGGCTCCAAGTGGCTGAACACCTTGCTGAAGAAACTTGTTTACTCAGGAGCTGCACAGGGGAGTAACCTCTGCCCTGGGTGATCCAGTGGGAAATCACCTCCTGGCTGGCACCCAAACAAAACAGGGGATTAACTTTGCCCTGCGCGGGAGCGCTGCTCTGGAGCTGCTGAGAGTCAGTGAGAGCGTGTAATCCCGCCAGTCTGGGAAGAGCCGTGCCCGCTGTGCCAAGACATGGGAGCCAAGCTGCTGTGCCTCTTCCTCACCTCTGCGCTCCTTGCTTACTACCTCTACACCCCCGTGCTCGAGGACTTTGAGGAGCCCTGGAAGGTGATGCTCATCGCAGCTGGTGTCAGGGTCCTCGATCATGTGGTGAGTTTGGTGCTGGGCTTGGTGCGGGGCTGGCCTGGGGGAGAGCGAGCTGTGGAGCAGTAGGTGTTCTCTGTGCCTCCATGGGTAACAGGGATATGACAATATTTGTCATATATGTATTATATATACAATATAGAGAGTAGTATCTGTAATTATATATACACAGTGGTACCTGTAAAATATATATATATAGAGAGAGAGTAGTATCTGTAATTAAGCATTAGACTTACTGCAACTGTGATTATAAAGAAACTGAGAAAAGATTTAATTGTCTAATCTTGAGAAAAGGACACCCACAGTAACTGGAAATGTGATGTGTGCTATGAATATAGACAGACGAGTGCAAACAAGTTTATCATGCTTTACAATCCTCTGCGGCTGGAGCACTGCTCCTCGGATTCTTCCTGTTTCTCAGAGCCTATATATCAAGATTCCTCAGAAGTATTGTACTGGGTGTCAGAAGGGAAAAGTAAAGCACTTCAATGTTATCTATTTTTGTGGTTTCATAGAAATCTGACAGAATGAGCCTAAAAACTACACAAAGCTAATTACAGGGGTGATAATGCTAATGCATGTAGAAATTAAGCTCTCTGTGTATGTGTGTGTGTATATATATATATAAGTATATATATAAAAACTCTTTAAAATACCACTGTAATCTTGCCTACCAAAAAAACCCTACCTAGGCATCACAGCACCATACACCGCAGTCTGAAAAGGAGTGGTATTATGCCCTGTCTGTAGTTATATGACAATGTTTAGGGCAACATTGTCTTTATATTTTTCCACGTTATTTTTATAAATGTTACACCCCCGGCTTCTGCTTCATTTCAGTCGTGTTATACAGCCATTTCAAACACAGGTAAATAACCTGTTAGGCTGGATACTACACATAGGTGGGAACTACAGCACCATTATATCTTAAGTACATTAAACTGGGACCAGTTTTGAACCCAGCCTGTACAATGGTGGCTGCAGCAGTATAACAAAAATCTAAAAAGAAGATCAAAGATGAAGGCTTGGGGGGAGGAGGGTGCTGAGTGGTGCAGACGTCTTTCTGGGTGGCCACAAACACTCCGAGTCTGCTTTTCCCTCTGCCACTTACTATATTGAGAAGAGGGTCTAAGGAGCCAGGAGAGAGGTTTCTAGACTTTCTTGAGGGATGCTGCTGAAAGGCTTGTCTGCTGGAGGCACAAACACCCAGGCTCTTGCTCCAAAGCGTGTGAGTTCAGGATTTTGCCTTTTGTGGCGTTTCAGTTAAAACATGGTGGGTGTGACTTTCAGAAGTCCATGGGAGCCACCTTCTTTATGATTCTTCTGGTGGGGGCAAGGGCCTGTGTTTTCTTGGGATGTCTCCTGAACATCATACTCCTGGACAGTATCTGAAAGCTAATGCTGATCTCCAGAGCCACCCCTGTGCCTAACAGACTTTGTTTGCAGCAGAGACCTCTTGTTAGGTCTGTGCAGCGAGCAGAAGGAGAGAGGGGATGATTTTTTTGGTGTTTATTCATGGACTTGTTGCTGCTTCCATGTTTGTTTTGATCTTGTGGTTTGAGGTCTGAGCAGTGGGAGGTGAAAAAGTGGTGAGAAAAAAAACTGTAGCCTGCACTGTTGATGTGCTGCCTTGCTTCTTCCCCTCTTACATCTCCTTTTGGGGCTGCCCTGCGAGGAGGCTATGTGTGCAGATAACTCATTTCCCCAGGAATGTTTCCCTCGTGTCTGCTTGCTCAGTCAGACCTGTAGCCTTCAGCACAGCAGTGCTCAGCAAGCAGAATCCTTTTCTTTCGATGCTGGAGGATTGTGTGTTTTGTAACTGTAACGTGGAGCTGGTGCCTTTCATGGCTGTCGCGTTGGCTGCTTGTTAAGCCCGAGTCTGTTGGAAGCAGCAGTGGTGTGGAGGAAGTGTGTTTTGTAACTGTGCTCCGGTCTCATGCAGAACCATAAACCTGAGGGACTCCGATGAAGACAGCCTGCCTGGAGCTGCGCTGGTGCAATTTAGATTTGAGGTGGCTCTGAAGTGTCCTAAATACATTCTGAACTGTCATCCGCTTACAGGGCAATCACTTAACAGTAGGTCTAAACTTGTGGAGGGGAACCTATTTTAGTCTCTCTGACTCCCTGATGTTGGTTTGAAAAGAGCGAAACACCACTGTCACCCTCGAACACTCCTGGGCAAGAGGGTCCTTCCCCAGCTCCCAAAAGGACGCACCAAGAAAGCCATGAGAAGGCAAATCTCTATCTGCCTTTGTCTTTGCTTTCATTGCTCCTGGGGAGCTCTCCAGCTTCCAAGCCAAATTGTAGAAGACCTCCAGTTTCAGGTTTCCTGGCCTGGATGGGTGACTGGTTTGAATAAACCCTGTGCCAGTCACAGGCTCTTCGCCAAGCCTCTGCCAGGCACGGCAGCAAGTGCCGAGGGCTCCAGAGGCCTCCCAAAGGCTCGTGGTCAGGCCTTGCCCAGCCCTGGGTTACCAGTGCAGGGCTGCAGCCATGCTGGGATTCGCTGGGGTGCCCAGCCCGTGGCGTGCCGAAGGGTCCGTTCGTACCCGTCTCATTGCAGAAGGGAGGCTGGGAATGTCTCCGTCTGCATCTTTGCTATAATGTCTCACATCAACGTGCTGACTAGTTGGGGAATGGCCTCTGAGAATTAACCGTCCGGTTTCTGCGGTGCTTAAGCACAAAATTCCTCATGTATTTTCCGGAAGGGCCATGTACACACAGTCTGATAAAATGCACGAAGAAGGTGTAGAATATAAAGCAGCCCAACATCTTCCTGCCTGGCTGAGCGTTTCCCTGGCTGCAGCTCTGTGAAACCCTCCCAAAGCTGTCCCCATCCTGCCCCGGGCTCTCAGAAACAGTGAAATCTGGATCTGAGCCCTGTCCAGCCCCGCTTGCAAACTCATGTTCCGCGGAGGGAAGCTGTGCTGGGAGGGCTCTGCCTCCGCCAGAGCTGCTGCCTGCTTGGATCAAGGAGCTGCTAAACGCTGGGCTGGGGGCTCTGCCTGCCCCCTTCCTCCTAAATCGGTGCTGGGGCTCTCGTCCTCGCTGCTCCCCGTGGAACACGGAGAAAGCAGCTGCGGGCAAGGCTTTCCAAAGCACGGGAGCACAAAACCCCAAAGTGGCAGGTTTTCCTCTTACCCTGTAATATGCAGTAATCTCAGATTTGGGACAATGAGACTTTTCAGATGAGGGATTGATTTCCTGCTGGTTTTATATGATAATGGCCTTGAAACCACAGGCAGTAGGCCTGTGGTTTTCCAGCGTAAAATGTCCACTTGTGGAAAAAACTTCTCCGAGAGTCTTGAAAAGTCTCAGTCCTGAAGCTGAGGGAATTCCTCCCAATGCAGGGGGAGTTCACCAGCTCAGTGGAATTGCAGCAGGACTCTTTGACCTATATATTTATTTTTTTCAAGATGCTAATCCTCAGGGAGAATACAACAGCCGAGAAATAGTCATGTAAACTGACTCCAGACCGCCGAGCTTGGCAGAGCTCCTGGCACCGCTTGGTCCAAGCCTTCAGAGAGGTGACCTAAACATGGTGGAGATTGCTCTCAAGTGTTGTCAGTAAGGTCTTAGCTGTACTCTCTTTTCTTCTAACTTCTGGAAACGTAGGTTGTATGTAGAGGATGATTAAATAGTTGATTTAAAGAAAAAAAAAAAGGCAAAACTAGCAGGGTTAGACTGTATGATTTACAATATCAAACCCTGGACGCCAGATCTTACACCTCTCAAGTGGTGATCAGTTAAAGTGTGGGGGGGGGTTGTGTGTGTTTTACATTCTTCCTGGGAAGAACAGAGGGTCTCCTGGGAAGCTAAACTTCCGACAGGTCCCTCATCGGGCTGGGCTGTTGTATTTCCTACTAGACTCAAACCTGCTTTCAGTTTAATTGGTTTTCCATCTTCAGGCAATACGCAGGAACTTGCTTTGTCACTTACTCAGTCCTATTGCTATGTGACAAGGCAGTTGTTATGCTGGTGTGGGATGCTGGGGCATGTCCCCTGTCACTGGGGGAGCTGCGGTGGCTCTCTGGTGATGCTGGTGCCGTCCCTGCTGGGGCAGGCAGGGCGCTGGCCTGGGGAGCGGGCTGTGGAAGTGACCTCCCTAAAACCCTGAGCCCGTGGGCGCACAGAAACCGGCAACCCTGATGTCAGCACTGGGGCTGCTTTTCCCAGGGCGCCCTCCTTTCTGAAGGGCTCATAACAGCCGCGGGACTCGGTGCCTGCTGAAAAGTTCCCGTCAGAGCAGCGAGCTCAGGCCCGTTGTCACCTCAGTTACCTCCCAACCAAGCGTGCTGATCAAAGGTACGTTGGGGCAACTGCAGGATTGTTTATCCCTGCCCGAAGAATTGTACAGTGGCCTGAAACTCAGAAAAGTGCTTTTTTTAACCACAGTGTCAGCTCTTAATTTTTTGGGTGTTTAACCAGAATATGCACAAGAGCAGTGCGCACTAAACTGAATACATACATGCAAATTAGCTTGAAATTGCTTCTGATTTTGCTTGAACTAGAAATCTTAGTTCACTTCCAGCGAGTCAGATGGCAAATGGCTTTCAAACAAATTTGAAGTTGCGTTCCTCATACCTCTCTTTCATCTAAAAAACCAAACTCCCCCCAAGGTGTTCCTTAATATATCATTAGGAACTGCATAATCTAATGCTCCCAAATCGTGAGGCAGCCGGTGCTGTTTTTACCTTCCAGCTGCAAGCAGCACCAGCAGCCCATTGCTGTAGCACCCTGTGCTTTAAGGAGGCTACGGCTCACGCTGCTGGCATTTTGCACGACTGAGATCACGCTCTGCCTGCAGCCAGTCTCTAATGTGCCTAAATTTTTAAGGTATTTATCTTTCACAGTACAGAAAATGAAGGCTTTATTTTCCCTCCAGTCATTATGATGTTATTCTTTTACGTCATTTTGTTGTCTGTTATGGATTTTTAATGTGTTTTTAGAATACATTTCTAATATGTTGAAAGCAACATGAGAAGTAAGTTTCTTCAAACAGTTTAATCCTATGTAAGGGGAAAAAAGGGAAAAAGGCCAATGTATAAGGAAACACTGGTCACCTCTTTACTTGTCGCAGTGCCCCTGACGCAGCTCTGAGGAAATGTGATGCCTCCTTTGGAGGCTGCTGGGTTCGGAAGGAGTTGCTGGGGTCTGCATTTCTACTGCAGTCCACAGCACATGGCCCTAGAAATGTTTTTGCTTGGGTTTGCTTTTGTGCACCAAAGACTCAGTATAATGAAAGCTGACACAATTTTTAAAAAAAAAGTTTTATGTTCAAGGTTTAGAAAGTGAAAGGGATTCTGAAACACTTTAACCTGCGTAAATTGTCACGATGTCAGAGAGGCAAAGCTGCCAAATGTTAATCTTTGGAGCTTATATTTCACCTACAGGTTTACTTGCTAGGGCTTGTTTTTTGTTTTCATCTAATTTATCATCTTAGAAAAACTGCAATCTAATTTAGAACCACAGAATTTCATGATGTTTAAAACATGAATTTCAAAGGAAACTGCTCTAACAGTATTAAAAGTTGGCAATTCCTTGTTTCTGAACTCCCTGGATCACATCACTTTTCTTCTGTCAGGGAATCTCTGTGGAGCCCACTGGGTGAAAGCTGACACAACTGGGCGTAGCTCTGCCCGGGGCGGGGTCGAGGGACGGACGGATGGACACACCTGATGCCCAGGGGGTACCTGATGCCCAGGGGCTCTGATGGCCTCCCCTGCTCTCTCCCCTCAGAGGGCTGCACAGGGCTGGGTTTCCAGTGCAGCTGGGCCAGATTCAAGATTTCTGGGAAAAAGAACCTTTTTAAAAAGTTAACCCTACGGGGTTTTTTTAAGACCCCCAGACTAATGCACTTACCAGGCAGACAGAGATCCCGGTTACCTTCATCCTTATGGCCCCTCCTGGAGGATGCTCCTCCTGGTCCTGCTGAGTCTCTCTCCAGGTCAGGGAGTCACCAGGACTGTCCTTGGTCTGAGTCAGGCTGGAGCCAGCGCTGGGGGACGGCAGTGGTGCCACACCAGAGCTGCACTTCTGTTGGTTCGTTCGACAGGGGACTGCCTCGCGGGCAGAAGGCTGGTGGAAATTGGTGGCAGGGTTATCTTTAGCTTTTTATTGTGAAATGTCAAACAGACGTAAGGGAAGGATTTTCATGGCTTAAAGCTGGATCCTCCTCAAGGACGATGGAGCAGGAAACAGCTCCAGAAGGTACAGTGGCACATGTAGCGTGACAAAGTTGTCTCATCTGCTGACCGTGTGGAATGGGCAATAAACACACAACTCGACTCTTGTTCTGCTGTTCAGTAGGAGCACGTCATCATGATATAGAGAAACATGGAGGTATGTAACTGATGGAATTGTTACAGGTAAACTGAAGACATTAAACAGATGAACTGTGGTGAAGTGGCAAAAATATACTTCTGCCTTTTTAACGTTTCAAAGTAGAGAAAATATTTCATTTTACTAATGTAAGGGTGCTCATCTCTGGCTGCTGGGGTGGAACTGATCATGAAAAATTACTGTGCAGCTTGCAGTCACACTGCTATATCCTTGTATTTGTGCCACCTGTGTCCTTGGCACCCTGAAAGTACCAGCTGCTTCTGCTTCTGGAGTTCATCACAACATAGGAGCAGCTCTTGTTTGGTTTTGTGGTAACTGTCTGGAAAGGTGAGGAGGTGTGACTCACTGAGCAGACCCTCATGCTGGGTATCGGGGGCTTTCTTCCACATCCCCTGTGGCATCCTTGTTATCCTCTGTGCCTGTGCTTCCAGTCGTTGTCTTAGCAATGAGGAGCGGTGGTGTCCCCCCCCGGGTTCCTTCCAGCCACCGCTGCTGAGCGTCACTCGGAAGCGATGGGGGATGAGGGAGCCGGACAGTGAGACAGCGACTCCCCCGAGCCGGCAGCGTTCGGCTGAGCGGCTTTACAGACTTGTGCAGAGTATCACATGGCTTTGTGGAAATGTAATCTCTGACGGTAACTAAGGCTGTGCTTAAAATACCGCTTTCCCTTGTCTTGGGCTTTAGTCTGAGGTTGCCGATCGGCTGGGTCTGATGCACTACATGGAAGCCACGAGGCTGATCACAAACATCGATTACGTCGCGCCCACGTCTGATGAAAACGTCACTGTGACGGACACAGAGTTCGGCAAGGTCCCTGTCCGTCTGTACCTGCCCAGAAAGGCGTCTGACGGGCTGAGAAGGGCAGTGCTCTTCTTCCACGGTGGAGGATGGGCTATAGGACAAGCAGGTAAGCTCCTGTCGGTCAGTGCCGTGTGGGGGTCCCTAGGGAAGATCTCAATGGCCCACGTGAAGCGCTGCCTTTTGTTTTATGGGAGTTGCCACAGAGAGGCGTAGGGAACTGGTATTTCACCAGTTAAAACCAGGTGGAGGTTTTGGGAAGCCACCTGAAAACTTCTGCAAAGAGGAACATGCTGTTGTGTATTTGTCTGTTCCCAAATTTACTGGAGTATGTATGAAGGGACTTGTTTCGTTTCAGGCGCGAGATCCTACGATTATCTGACAAGGAGGACTTCAAACAACTTAAATGCTGTCGTGGTATCAGTCAAGTAAGACGGGTTTTCCTTCTAGGTGGGATGAGGGTCTGGAATAAATTAATGTGTTTCAATTAATTAACTTCACAATATCTTTTTTTTGATCACGTGCTTTCCTGCTATCGTCAGGTATTTGTAAGCAGAAGCTGTCGAGGTTGCAGTGGTGAATTGTGGTTGGTGGCTGTTTTGGGTATTGCTTTATGAAGTTGGGTGGGTAATAAAATATTTGATCCTCCAGGATAGACAGACAGTTCCCGTTTCTCTGGACACAGAAAATAATAAGCATTCACCAACTAGGGCAGATGGTAGCGAGCCTGTCTCTTCCTTAACAGCAGCAAGTAACGCAGTTCTTGCCTCTGACAGTTACAGGTTGGTGCCTGAATACCACTTTCCCATTCCATTTGAAGATGTGTATTCAGTGACAAAGTTCTTCCTCCAGAGCAGCGTCCTCTCCCAGTACCGGGTGGACCCAGACCGGGTCTGTGTGGCAGGAGACAGTGCAGGTGGCAACTTGGCAGCAGCTGTGGCACAACAGGTAAAAAAAAAAGGTGGTTTGTCAGCTCGGTGTTTTTTTTAGCCATTTCATGAACACTTACAAACACTAACAAAAGCCTCTGCTCAAAGCAAGTCTGTGTCCCAGGGGTCTCTCGTGGTCGGAGCACGCGGGACTGTCGGCGAGGGCTCTGCGTGTCCCAGCACGCGTGTTTACCTGAGCCATTTAACGGCATCAGGGTAGCTCTGGTGCTACGATGCCCTCCAAACCTTTATACCCTGAAAAAAAGCTCTCTGCCCTATAATTAGGGCATATATCACTCAATCCTTAAGCACATTTTGACTGGTTTAGGTATGTTGTTTGAAAGGGGAATTCTAGCAATTTGTCTTAAGTGTAAATAGCAGGGGGGAAAAACCCCAAACCTAAATGTTCTGGGGTGGGTTGTTCACACCCAGTTCAGTGCCTTTTGCACTCCTCGCTCAGGTTTGTTAAATAAAGTCAGCGCGACGTTGTTGCTCTCTTGAGAAGATATTTGGATTGTAATGAATCTCACTTGGAAAGGCTGTGAATTGGCTGTGGCCCCTGAAGGCAGAAGATGAGGGAGGAGGTGGAAAATTATTGGTGAAGAGGGAAAAAGGATGACATACAAGAAATGCCAGTGTTCAAAGAAGAAATGTCAGTGATCAATTCATCACACTTTATTTTTCACATGTCTGAAATGCACAGAATTGTAGTTGTTTCAGTTCTAACACTGCAGGGTTAAAAAACCCAAAGGGATAAATAAGCTCTAAATCATGTGGAATGATTAAGGAGCCTCAGAAACCTGCAATTTTTAAGCTTTTTCTTATAAATAGAAATTTTCTGTACTTCCAGAACAAGCATTTGTTACTGCTTTAGAAAGCATCAATGCTTCAAAAAGTGTTCCCCAAATATTGTTGTCCTTCAGCATAAGAAATAAAATGAAATTGTATTTGATTTTTGAGAATTTTAACACAACATATTGTTTTAGGTGACCTGCCTATGAATTTATAATTTCTTTAAATTAATCTATCCTGGTTTGCTTATGTTGTAACGTGTGTGTTAATTCCTTTTACGATCTCCTGTCGGTGTGGGAGAAGCGATGCTTTTTAATTGACTTGTTGTAATTGTTTCTATTTTCTTCTACAGCTGCTAGAGGACTCTGAAGTCAAAACCAAGCTCAAAGCCCAAGCTTTGCTTTACCCTGCTCTTCAAACCCTGGACATGAATTTGCCGTCTTACCAAGACAACAAAAACAAGCCCGTTCTAACCAGGTCGCTCATGATCAGGTTCTGGAGTGAGTATTTCACTTCCGATCCGTCTCTGAGGCAGGCGATGGCCTCCAACCGGCACG